TTTTAAAGGAAACTGAAGTAACATCCAGAGATTACGAACTACCGACGGTAAGAAAGATGTAATGTATTAATATTCTCTATCATAAAATCAGAACACTGAATTATTTTTTGATAAAATAGTGTTAATACTGTTGTAAATTTTTACCGTGCAGTATTCGAATATTTATTAATTTTAATTAATTATTTAAATTATTTCCACAATACATCTAAAAAATGACCCGTCAGTCAATTATTGTTTTTTTTTCTTATGTATTTCTCCGTCTATGTATATGGTATTGATGATGTGGAAATAAACTTTTTATATTGAATATTGAATATTATTATATTATTTGAAAACAAAGGAATGTGAACGTCTCCAAATTCAACGATTGTTAAGTTGAATAAAATCAGAACACTGAATTATTTGTTGATAAACTAGTGTTACTGTTGTAAATTTTTTCCATGCAATATTAGAATATTTATTAATTTCATTTAATTATTTAAGTTATTTCCACAATACGTCTACAAAATGACCCGTGAGTTGATTATATTTGAAAACAAAGAAATACGAACGTCTCCAAATTCAACAATTGTTAAGTTAAGTGTAATGGTTTGTGATTGATTTGGTGTTTTGTTTATTGTGATTGTAATTTTCATGTATTTGTATATTTCTAAAGTTTAATATTACCATTTATAGTTCGTGATGCATTCATTTAGGAATTGTTTTGCTTTTGTATGTTTTTTATCCGAATGTATTTATTAATTTTAATAAAATAAAATATAGGCTGTACTTTATCTCCAAGGTATCCGAAGCAGCTCCAAGAAATGAGAAACATCCATCGGTAAGAAATCGTTACATTTAAAACGTCAAAACAGCAATGGGTTTTTTTTTTAACTTATCATAGGCCTATATTAAATATGACCAGTACAAAGAGTTAACATAAATAATACTGAATGTAAGTGTAAATCTACCGTGTAGGTTTGTTTGCTTCTAGAAATATAGAAATGTGTATCATTCCACATTCTAAGTAGCTATAAATGCTTAACTTTATAATTCACTGGATGTAAGCCTAAAGCCGGCCACATAAATCTAGTTTTTACACGCCCATAATTACAAAACAATTGTGCTTAACTCATGCGATTCGAACACTGGCTACGCTATTGTCACAAAACGTATAGAAATTAATATATTTTCTTTGATATTCTGAATTTTCCAGGCTTATACGACGTACATAGTTGAGCCGAGGGCAGATAACAAGTATGAGGATCTAAAGTGGAATAATGACAACCCAGTTGTCTATGTAAACGTCAAGTGAAAAACTTTGAATGTTAATTTCAATGTGATATTGCTCTGAAATCGAGAAAATAATTACAACGTATGGTGTTGCTGATTAATTATACAATGGTATTTACTTTTATTCTGCATTTCCCTTGATTTTTAAATACATATTTTGTTCAAATAAACACATCGTAAACTGATGCAATCAATAATTATCATAATAAATGTTGTTAATTTGGTCATAATTGTTTATTGTATTCATGTATTAATATATAACATAAGATTCAAATAATGATAGCAAATACTGTATGGGTTTTGTAAAAAGCTTTCATTTTGCTATTTGTCGTTCAAGTTCATTTAGAAATATTTTGAAATACTTAATATGTATGACAAACTTAATTATAGTGGTTATGTGATGTGAAACGAGTGCTAAATTATGTAGGTTTTTATTGGTATGACAGGTAATATGGGACAAGATAACTAAATTGACATAACAGTACTCAACACTCTCTGAGACATTCATGTGACAGAAATTATACAACTTCGGAGGAAATAGGCTATTATAATTCTTGCCAAAGGAAACAATACACATAATATTATGTACATAATAGTCCTACTCTAGGTCAAAGTTACTTTACTAGCAGTAAGCATTAAAATATACCATATAAGTATATTATACTTAGGTATTCATTTCTATGGAAGGTACGGTATTAAACGCGTATACGTAGAAATACTGAAAAACAGCAATCATAATATTTATATGGTTCCATGTAATAAAAGTTTTTAGTCACGTAGGCCTATCAAATCAAAATCATTAAAGCCTGGATTCCATAAAATCACTAAACAGTCGCTACAGCGTTTTCACTGCAATTCTTGCACTGCATATCTGTCCCCGACGCAATCGGAAACGCTCCCTGTTTCAACTGAAGCTTGGTTCCCATAGAATATCTCGCCATATCGGCGACAGTTTGGTTGAAGGTTGAACATTGTTCAACTTTGTCGATTGCGTTGCAGAGGAATCAGGCACCTTCCCGATCGCGTTCATCTGCAACGCAATCAGCAAAGTTGAACCAGGAGTTCCAACCTTCCCGACAACTGTCACCGATAGGGTAAGCGATTGTAATGGAAAACCAAGCTAGACGACTAATCAGCGTAGAGTGAGATTTTTTATGAAAGGGAAGGTTGGAACTCCTGGTTCAACTTTGCTGATTGTTTGTGCTAGACGACCAAACATAACATTTGAGGCATTCTGGGCTATCATTTTTTTCTTTTTCTCTTTTTTTTTCTTTTTTTTTTCTTTTTTTACCTCCCAAAAGGGGGGGCCGGGGCCGGGCCGGCCCCCCCTAAATCCGCCCCTGCCGACAACTGTCACCGATAGGGTAAGCGATTGTAATGGAAAACCAAGCTAGACGACTAATCAGCGTAGAGTGAGATTTTTTATGAAAGGGAAGGTTGGAACTCCTGGTTCAACTTTGCTGATTGTTTGTGATTCGATGATTAGTTTTATGATAAATCATTATTTAACCAGAGTTTAAAGTAATAATGTTTAGTTGTAAGAATACTCTGATAGATGTAGATTGAGCTATCTCGATCATTTTATATGTTAATCTTTTAAGTATTGAAATACTGTTAGTTTTAATTGATGATTAAATCGATAAATGGCGATTCTTGCTGTTTGAATGTGAAGGCGTACGCTAACGTCTTCTTCTTCGTTTACATTATTTGTATGCCTAGGCTAGGCCTACGCTGGCTACATAAAGCATATTATTGTTATACTTAATTATAGGCAAACTTTAATTTCAAGAGATAAGATTGTCAAGGATGAATGTATTATTAATTTTAAAGCTAAAATACTTTCATTCATCATTATTGTATTGCATTATGCTATTTGTATTTTATGGTTATTTCACGTTTCAGTGAATCACGTACTCATGTTCGTTGACGTTGTTCTTCTCGTATTCGATAGACGTCTCGTCATCGTCCCGTTACTACTGTACTACTGTTATACCATTTTTTCACCGTTTCATTTATCATCCTTTCTACGTTTGAACGATTAAATTTACATAACATCTTATGCTGATTCCATTGGTAGTAATTTTTAATTTGAAGTTGTTTCGCATTCTACATTATTCACAAAGTTTTAGTGAAGAAAAGCTAATATGGCTACTCGATCTGGACAGCAGTACCAAAGACCTTCCACCAGTTTACCAGACCTCACTATAAAGGAAGAAGAAACTCAAAGAGTTAAACGTAAGGCTGGTAACCGTATGTCAGTCAGGAGTCTGTCGAGGAAAGGTTCTATTAACGCCTCAACTAAAAGTAAAAAGGATAAACTTGAGGAACAGCTTGCTGTACAGAAAGTGGAATTGGAATTTAAAGAAAAAGAATTACAGCTCCGAATGGAGCAGTTGGAAGTCCAGAAGGAGGTAGCCATTACAAAGGCATTATTGGAGATGGTCGATGAGACCAGCGAAGATGAACTTTTGATCGAGGATGAGGATCTTAAAGATGTCCCTGCTGAAGAACCGGATGAAGGTGTTAGAAGGTTTTTAAATACTTTGCCCCCAGCAGTTAATCAAGATGTGTCTCCAAATAGTTCAAGTGAGACCAACCCAATGCTGATTAAGCAATTGGTCGACTCGTTCAAGTTACCACCATTAAGAGTTGCAAGTTTCAATGGAGACACTCTGAAGTATCCCATGTGGGAGACATCATTCAACAGTCTGATTACTGATAAGGTACTCTCAGCAGGAGAGAAGTTGAATCTACTGAGCCAGTATTTGGTTGGCGAGCCTTATGACATGGTGAGCAGTTACATGTTGCTTCAAGACGAAGGTGCATATCAACTTGCCCGTAAAGAGCTCAAATCCAGATATGGTAACAACTCCGTGATAAGCAGAGCATTCCTCACCAAGCTGTATGATTGGCCAAAGATTGGGGCAAAAGATGCAAGTAGATTGAGGAATTTCTCGGATTTTCCTAATGAGGTATGTGCAGCTAAGAAGAGGATTCCAGACCTAGGTCTTTTAGACTATAAACAAGAAAATTACAAAATAATCAGCAAATTGCCAACATACATTGAAACCAAAAGGAGGCAAATCGTGCAAGAGCATCTTGAAGAGGATGGATTCCCAAGCTTCGAAGTTTTCTGCAAGTTTATAGAGCAAAGATCTAAAGAAGCAAATATTCCCATATTTGATTGCTCTTCTACTCCGACCAGTAATTCCCAACCGAATAGCTCATCAAAAAAGTCATTTGCGACGATAGAAATGCCTACATGCGCATTATGTAAAGGGAAACATCAGTGTGTCAAATGCGACCGGTTCTGTTCATCAACGAGTGAAAGGAAAATTGAGCTGCTGAAGGAATGGAAATTGTGCTTTGGTTGCCTTAAGTATGGCCATAGGTCCAAAGAGTGTAGAAATAGGATGAAATGTGAAACTTGTAATGGTAGACATCCGACGATACTACACATAGATAATAATAATAATAATAATAATAATAGATAGACAACCAGACTCCAAATCAACTATTGCAGCAGTTGAAACTCGTCAGACCGGAAAACCATGTGGCTTATGTACGATGGCTATAGTACCAGTGGTCGTAAAATCATCCAGGAATGGACGATCGGTTGCAACGTATGTATTCATGGATCCAGGTTCCAGTATATCTTTCTGTTCGGAAAGGAACTAGGAATTGGTGGACGTAAAGTTAAGATTACTTTGGATACAATGGGGTCCATCCAAGTTCTGAACACTCATGTTATCACCGAAATGTTAGTAAGTGATTTACATGGAGGAAAACAAATGCATCTTTCAAATGTATATACAAAAGACAAGATGCCTTTTAATCACTCCCATATTCCAACCCAAGAAGATATAGATCAGTGGTGTGACCTGAAGGGTCGAGTAAAGCTACCTGTGATAGATGCTGAAATTGGACTGATGTTAGGCAATGCTGTAGCTGAAGCTTATACTCCTCTAGAGGTAATCACTGGTCCACCTGGCTCTCCGTATGTAGCAAGACCGGCGCTTGGGTGGATTCCATGGAACATTGTGAGACACGAGATGTCAGCTGCTACGGTGGTAAATAGGGCTGAACTTACAGCTATTCAAAAATATGAAAACCTAAACAATATGTTAAAGGATTCTGTGAACATAGATTTCCCAGAAAGATCTTCGGCCGAGAAAACTGGAATGTCGGTTGAAGACAAGAGGTTTATGCGTTTAGTTGATGACACAATCCAATTTCAAGATGGTCATTATGTTCTACCGTTACCTTGGAGAGACCAAAACACTATCTTGCCCGACAATAGGTATATGGCAAAAAAGAGATTTAATTCTCTCGAAAGAAGATTAGAGAGTAATCCAGATTTAAGAGATAAGTATGCGGCAAACATGACCGAGATGCAAAAGAAGGGTTACATAGAAGAAGTTGCAGAAGCTGTACCACCTGCTATAAAACGAGTCTGGTATTTACCTCACCATCCGGTGTGTAGTGACAAGAAACCAGGAAAGGTCAGAATTGTATACGACTGTGCTGCAAAGTTTGGTGGTGTCTCATTGAACGATGTTCTTTTACAGGGGCCGGACTTAACCAACAGTTTAATCGGCGTCCTCATGAGGTTCAGAGAACATAGCCGTAATGGCAGATATAGAAGGCATGTTCCTACAGGTTGTTGCAGAGGAAGATAGGGACTCGCTGCGGTTCTATTGGAGACCGGTTCAAGGTCAGGAGGTGAAGACATACCGTATGACAAGGCATTTATTTGGGGCAACTTCGCGTGCTCAAATAAAGCTTTGTTAAGTACAGCGACAGATAACGGCCACAAGTATGGTCTAGAAACTGTAAATGCGATAAAACATAACTTTATGTAGATGATTGCTTGTCATCGGTAGCAGATTACGAGAAAACAGTTACTCTTGTCCATGACCTGACAAATATTTGCAGAGATGGTGGCTTCCGCTTAACCAAATGGATGAGCAACAACAAGGACGTGTTAAGTACCGTACCACTTGAAGAACGTGCAAAGGAAGTTAAGTCATTAGATTTAAGCAAAGATGACTTACCAATGGAAAGAGCACTCGGCGTACAATGGTTACCAGAAAACGACACCTTTAGCTTTAACATTACACCTGCAGAAAAGAGTTTTACTCGAATGGGATTGCTGTCTATTGTGAGCTCTGTATTTGACCCGCTTGGCTTAGTGGCCCCATTTGTTCTTACAGTCAAGATTCTGCTTCAAGAGGTTTGCCGTAAAGGACTGGAATGGGATGAACCTGTGGATTGTGTATTGTTACAGCGATGGAAGCAGTGACTGCAAGAGTTACTAAAGCTTAAAGAATGGAGTGTTTCCTGGTGCTACAAGTCAGGCATTTCACCAGTTATTATCAGTCGTCAATTACACGTGTTTGCGGATGCTAGTGTCCAAGGTTATGGTATGGCAGCTTACCTCAGACAAGAAGACAGTGATGGCCATGTCCAAACGTCACTGGTGATGGGAAGAAGTAGAGTAGCACCAATAAAGTACACATCTATCCCAAGATTAGAGTTGACGGCAGCAGTCATGGCTGCACGTTTGACAGAAACTATCCTGACCGAATTGGGTGATATTAGTGATGTTTATTACTGGACTGATAGTCAAACTGTTCTGAAGTACAGAACACTTCAAGAAGATTTAAGATATTCGTGGCAAACAGAGTTGCTGTTATTCTTAACCTTTCAAAGCCATCTCAGTGGATGTACGTTAGAACAAGCAACGATCCTGCCGACGAAGCTTCGAGAGGTCAGAAAATTGAGTACCTCAACGAGTCAAGTGAACAGTAGCAAAATCTACAGGAGATTAGACTCTTACCTTGCATTGATGAAGATGATCCAGAACTTAAGAGGGTGTCAAATGCAGTAGTAGCTGAAACAGGTCAATGTTGTTTTCTAGATGACCTGATTACTAAATTCTCTGCCTATAGCAAGTTAAAGAGGATTGTAGGCTGGGTGCTTGTGGCTATCGAGAGACTACGGAAAAACAGGTCTTGCATTCGTCCAACATTGGAACATCTGAAAACTGCAGAGAAGATTATATTGGCTCAT